CAGCTACTTGCTAGGTTTGGCAACCTCTGGGGTTGAAAAATCATGCTTGAGGCTGACTTCAAAAGTGAGTCAATCCTCATAGACCTCTGTGTTGAAGGCCTTGACACACCAAGCTGATGGTCAGCCATTGGTGAAAGTTGGGCCACTGGTGAGCGTCTGCCGCCCTTGTCAGTGTAGTGTGTCCGACACCATTGCAACTCATCAGCCCCCATTGGCTTTTTTTTTTTTTTTTTTTTTGGACCGATTCAACGGCCAAAAACAGCAGACCAGTTCATCAGCTGTAGTCTTTGCGGTGTGTTCAAGTGCAACTTTTTGGGTCAAGACTCTGCCTCAACCAAGTATGGTCACCTTGGGTCACTTCTGGCTCCAAAAATCCAAGCTTTCAACTGCCAAAACAGGAGCTCACGAACCAATGGGTGACATTATGGTGAATACGTCCATTATTTTTAATACAGTATATCAACTTAAACAATAAGTGTTGTGTGTTGGTGAATATTCTCAGTCATCCAGGACATCTAGGTCATGGTAATCTTAAGTGCCATATCATAGGCAACTCAAGCAAGTCCAGATGCTTACGATATACTGTAGCACTTAAGACAAGTGTTGTATTTACTGCGGTCCTCAAGTGGTCAAACAAGTTGTTGCAATTTCAAGTTGTGCATAAATTGTGTGCTTAAAAACGTTACGCACGCCTTAGTACTGCACCAGGTTGTTGCTACAGAGACTTTAAAGCATAGCAAATATGCAACATGATCACGTAAACCTGATTTCATTTATATAGTTTCCCACAAACTATGATTATTTGTTAAATCTGTGGGGGGTCTGAACACAGAGAAATACACTTCACCACTCTGTGATGATGTATTTAATCTGTGCTGACTATTAGACATTAAACAGGCAGACATTAAACATCCTCTCTGTCTTCCCAAAAACTCCTCCATGATTCATATCTGTTTCACAACCGCATATTTGTCTTGCTCCTTCCCATGTCTGCGCCTCTTCTGTCTGGGGGATGCTCCTGACCCTTTGGTATTGTAATAAATGATATTTGAGAAAAAAGAGCAAGAAAAGAGAGTCTTTTTTTTCCTGATGAATGTCAGCATATGAATATCTCATGTCACTTCAATGTATGAACACATTTTAACCACCAGGTGGCTCCCTGCATTTGCAAATCTAGTAATTAGGCTCCAGCATGGCAGAGTACCTGGTGTTACCTACAGACTGCAGTGAGGCGTAATAGTCACAGTGTGGCCAGTTAGGTTTATGTCTTCATATTTTAAGAAATATTCAAGTATTCTGCTGAAATTAGTGAAGTCTTTCAGGGATCTTTCACAGCCCTCCCTCGGCCTCTAGATGAAACAGCCTGCAAGAAGTGATTATGGAGATATTACCTGAGCAAAGCAACAGAGCGGGGTAATAAAGCTGCTGGTGTAATTAAGATTAGAGCTGTTTTCACTGGTTCTGACAGGCACCAGACACCCACGCCGGACTAAGAAAGAAAATGTGGAGGAAGGGAGGGAGGGGAGAAAGTTGAGAGAAAGAGAGGCATGGCTAATCTCTATAGTCTCATGCCCATGGGCACAGAGTGTGGGGGAGAAGGATGTGAAGCCGTGATAAGGAGGAGGGTGAGGAGGCGTAACACCGGGATGATTACAGGGTGAGAGAACATGTGAGCAGGCGAGTGAAAGTTTGAGAAGATGGGGAGGGGTCGTAGGTCAGGCTGGGTGAAGCTGAGCACTGAGAGGAGGCACGTCTGTAAAGCTGCACAGAGCATATGAAAACATAAGACTGTATTTATACTGTAACATAAGATTTACAGTCTCACTAGATGGCAATCACTCACAATTACTTAACTACTCCACCCCTTGGCATATCCTGACAACTGCCATAAAACTCACAATGTACAGTAAATGTCAGCAGCGATCCCCTAACAATAAACAATGATTTATTACCATAAATTATGTTTTTATAAGGCTGTTTTGGGGGCTGAGGATGTCATATAAACATAAACAAACAGCCTGCTGTGGCTGGGCTCAGTTAACATACACATTCCTATCTCATGCATGTCAGGTTTATGTTCAATAGTGAACTGCAGTCTAAATATACATATAATTTAATTTAGATTGCTTTAGAGTCTTTTTCTCTTTTATCAATTCAATCACATGAAGTGGGTGGCCAAACAGTTCTGTTTGTTCCTTGCATTTCTTTTTTCTTACAGTATGTGTACCGGCATTGCGCATGTGTACAGGCATAAACATTGTGTATGTGTGGTTCAGAAACCACTGCATGATTTGTGGGTTAAACTCTGACTCATTCTGTCCATATATTGAAGTGTCCCTGAGCAAGACACTGAACCCCATCAGTGTGTAAGTGTGTATACATGGGTTCATAAGAGGCACATTCTGAAGCACAAAAGATGGGGGACAAATTAAAGGAAAAACCTGAGTAAAAGGAAAGCATTAAATGCAGATGCTTCCATGCACCAGAGCTCACTGAATCATTTGGGGATTATGAAAATGATGTGAATAAAATGCTACAGCCTTTACATTCACCAGACAGCAACCTAATTTCACACCTATGGAAGATTTTGAACCAACCTATAAGAAAATCACCTTCACCAAAATCAACATAACACCTAATCATATAAGATAAACTTTCATCTTAAATGATTCAGCTATGTGTGTGAATGTCTCTGAGGCTATATGTCATTTTGTTTTTTTTCTTTGTGTGTCAGCATGGGTTTTCTCCGTGTACTCCAGCTTCCTTCCACAATCCAAAAGACATGCAGGTTAGGTTGATTGGTGAATGTGAATGTGAATGTGAATGTGAGTGTGAATGGTTGTCTGTCTCTATGTATCAGCCCTGCTATAGTCTGGCACCATGTCCAGGGTGTACCCTGCTTCTCGCCCAGTGTCAGCTGGGATAGACTACAACACCCCTGCGACCGGTTACGGAAGCGCATGTAATGTATATAAATGAGGGAATACCTTGTGGAGAAATGGTGTTCATCCCTCCAGTAAAGTTTCACAGATTTGGCAAGGAGCACTTTAGCTGTTCTGGAGGCCCATGGTGGCCTGACTCCATACTTACATAATTAATGTTGGTTCTTACTTTAATTTGTCCTCTATCTGCCAATATTAAAATGCAGTCCATTCACCAAAATGAATGATTAAGCAATCAAATTCATAATAAACCATCAATAATGCTGCTGTGTTTGTAGTGACAATGCTAACATGGTGTTCACCATGTTTGTGTTAACTGGTGAGTCAGAGAATGTTTTGCAGGTATTTGGTCAAAAACAATCAAAATTTTGACTCGACGATGACACCAACAAAAGTTAAGCCAGCACCAAAATTACTACAATTCATCCTGAGGGGGGCATGAATGTGTGTACCAAATTTCATGGCAATCCAGTAGATGTGGAAACATTTCACTAAAAACAAATGTCGACCTCGTGGTGGCACAGGATAAAAAGTCTGAGGATCACCAATGTCAGCAGGTTTCATCCTGCGGTGCCATGACTGTCTGTTAAAAATTTTGTGGCAATTTGTCTAGTATTGGTTAAGCTATTTTAGTCTGGACCAAAATAGTTGACATATAAATAATATCCGTTAAATTATATTATTACACGGCTTAGTTGAATACTTGATTCCAATTGGTCAATTATGGCATTCTACGGTCTGTTATTCATGAATAATAGACCGTTGCAATAGATAACAGACCAACATTGTGGAAGCAGTTCTGATCATAGACACGTAGCGGAAGCAGTAAAATCATTTTTAAATCGAAATTTTGTGCCAAAATATTTATTTCTTTAGTAAGTAGCTATGTAACTAGCAGGGTAATGTACAGCAGGCAGGTCATTATTGCAAAATGAACCCCCTTCATCACCCTTGAAACACTCCTCAAGACCACTCTGGTTCACTTCGAGGTCTGGCATCACTCTGTTGGGGTTCATTTAGCAGTAATGACCCGCTTGCTGTACATTATCCATTGCATATTACATTTGGCATTACATGTCTTACATCTGCAGTTTCTGCAGCACTGCTCAGACACTCTCACTATTCTATACCATAAATGCCACAAATAACCTGGATGCTAAGCCGGAAACAAGTGGAACAAATACACAAAAGTGTCTTTGTTGGAGATTTAAGGAGATTTATGTAGCTTACTTTGGCCCCTACGAGGAGTCAGGGGGTGTGTGCGTGAGCTCCGTGACTCTTAATGCTTGTTCCAGTAGGCCTCTGCTGTGCCAGAACAAGCTTACACCTCAGCCAAACCTGCGTCAACTGATTATGCTGGCTTACATTTACACATGTGTAAGTGTGTCAAAGGGTCTCTGTTGGTTCTTGTGGTGTTTTATCACATATCCATCGCATGGTGAGACTAGAGTCAGTGTTGCATTAAACTGCAAACTAAGTGGAACTTGTTTATAATATTTTCTAACATTGCTTTTTGTTTACTGATGCAAGCTGCAGCCTATTTCGTCAATTCTCACACTTGTTGACACAGTGTTCTAATAAATGGATGCTGTGTGACTTTGGCCTTGGAAATGAAACATGTTTCTGATCTTTTGAAGGAACTGAATCACACAAATCCTCACAACAAAGTTAAATTACACAGAGGAAAACAAGAGGAAGATGTGTAGGGGACAAGTAATTCTTTGGTTGGAGAGCGGGGTCACCGATCTCCTCTGCGGTTCAAGGGTGCACACAAATTACTGCTAATTCTAAGAATGTGTATGTGTGCGAGAAAGTTAGTTTTGTATTCATTCTTTAAAAAAATAATGTTTAACTAGCTCTAATAGTAAATGTGTCTCACTGAACAAATGACCCCAAGCTGAACAGTTTTCACCTTGACGTACAGGGTGGAATGCTAAACCAGCTGAGAGTGGCATTGTTAGTGTGTGTGTGTGTGTGTGTGTGTGTGTGTGTGTGGCTGATTAGCAGTTATTGGAGCAACAGGGGCACTGACTTGCAAACCTTTCTGAGCGTCACATCATGGCACTCATGGATTACCCAACAAACTTGGCTTTTTCTTTTGACCAATGATCATCCATCTAGCTAACGGACAACTATGCATCTAGAATGCTACTTTAGTAACTACAAGGCCACCAACTATTTCAGATAGTGTGTGAAAAGTGTGAAGGTTGCATTTTTATACAGTGAAGTATTTGAGGTCATGGGGAACTCAGAGAGTGTTTGGTGGATTGTGGTGGAGTGCGCCTGTAGGATCCTTGGTGTTTCCACAGCAACAGGTAAGATATGAATATAAAAACAAACAGAAATCTATAACAAGATTAAAATCTGACTCTTGTGTATCTCTTATTGTTTCAGTATGGGCATCATTTTGATCTTTGGATACACTAACAGATGCATAACAGAGTCCATGTCCTCTCTCTGATACGTTCCGCAGTCATGCTATTTTAAAAATACAAATAAGGGCAATGTTTGGGGTTATAAAATCCTTAAAGGGACAGTTCACCCCAAAATCAAAAACAGATATTTTTCCTCTTACCTTTCGTGCTATTTATAAATCTAGATTGTGTTGGTGTGAGTTGCCAAGGGTTGACAATATCGGGTGTAGTAATGTCTGTCTTGCCTCAAATCTAATGAAACTAGATGACACAGCTTGTGGTGCTCAAAGCACCAAAAAAATACATTTGAAAAACTAAACAGCAATGTCTCTTTCCAGAAATCATGACCCGGTTACTCAAGATAATCCACAGATGTTACTGTGAGCAGTTTCATGTAGGAACTATTTTCTTTCGACAGAACTACACTCACCAACCATACCACTGCGCAGAGGAAGGTGTGCTGCTAGCTCACCTAGCGCTATTGAGCTAGCTAACATTACACCATTAATGTTTACATCTCATGCTAAGTACAAGCCTCACACCCATGGCTTCTGCACAGTGATAGGGTTGGTGGGTGCAGATCAGTAGAAAGAAAATAGTTCAAGGTCGGTAGATTATCTTGAGTAACCACATCATGATTTCTGGCAAGAGACATTGCTGTTTAGTTTTTCAGATGTATTTTTTGGCGCTTTGAGCACCACAAGCTGAGTGCCATCTAGTCCCATTATATTTGAGAGAAGGCAGACATCTCCACGGCCAATACCTCCAACACTCTGAAACTCACACCAAAACAATCTAGACTGATAAACAGCTCCAGGTAAGAGGAAAAATATTTGTTTTTAACTTAAGGTTGAAGTGGCCCTTTAAGGATTTCATGAGCTCAGATAGTTAGGAGGTCAGGTGGTGATGTTGGCCAACTGTACTCTTGACCTCCAAGAACAACACACCATGATATATAGAGCATATGAAAATATACTTGATCATACATAACCTCACTATTATGGTTCCTCCTCTGTTTTCTTCAGGCACACAGGGACAGATTGCACGCAGCTTTCTCAGCCACATTAAATCATCATGGGAGAAATAGCTCTCTGGTTGCTGCTTCCATCAAAAAATATGGGACCCCCTCCACTTAAATCCAAACAGCTGCAGACACTGAACATTTACTGAGAGACATGTGCCTCAAATCACACCAAAACCAGGCCTCTGCATCCAGCTGGCTTACAGGGCTTGCATGATCACAAGCTGGTATACATTCACACCTATATGAGCTTTCTGTGCTTTCTCTGTATGTGTATATGTTTATGGTGTGTCTACATGTGCCTTTGTCTCTCTGTCTGTGTGTTCACGTCTACATGCCTGTGTTTGCCTGTCTGCCACTGTGTGTGTTCTGTAGGCAGATATACGTGCCAGGAGCACATACATGTTAATATCCAGCTGGTCTATATGCAGCGCTAATTCCTCTCACACTCTATAAACTAACAGAAACTATTCAGACACATTCCCCTGATTTCCCCTTTGGTGCAGATTCTATCTCTGAATTTCTGGTAAGCCAGAGAAATTGTTTCCATGTGTTTAGTGGCGATCACCACTCAACCACCTTTTATACCTCACAGGGAAAAGATTGATCCACTAAACAGGCTTTTCTTTATAGTTTTAAAGACTTTGTTGTCATCTGATTTTATATCTTTCCATGTGTGTTCAAGTGTTTTTTTAGCGTCATCACACAGATTTGGGAATCTTCACAACAAAGAAATAGTTTGACATTTTGGGTTTCTTGCAGAGAGTTAGAGAAGAGGACTGATTCCAATCTGCTCATCCAATTTTTGAGAAAAAAGCGAATAAGTATTTCCCTAAATGTTGAACCATTCCTTTAAAATACTAGGAATGTAGTGGTAGCAGAAGTATAAAATCAAATAAAATCACTTTATTGTTCTCTTCAGAAAAAATTCTTTTGGCGCAGTGAAGACTGAGGTTAAGGACGTCTGTAGAGGAGATTCAGCATCCTGCTAAGGTTGATCATGCAGACAAAGTTTTTACAATAAATCTGTACATTAATTTACACATAAGCCAAAGATGTCACGGAAGGCCTATCAACATACCATGACATCTGATTACCTCTTCACCTACAAGTGGCAAGTCTTTTTAAAATGTTGTGATTCCCCGGCAGAGGATCTGTGATGTATTAAGTGCACTCATATAAAATTGCCCAGCCGCCAGCAGTGATATGGTAATTACAAGCATGAGTAAGCGATTATCAACATTTTGTGACCATAACGGAAACTATTGCAACAATTACCAACATTAAGTGCTCTTCAAATATCTTCACATAACGTAGGCTATATATTATCATTTCAGTTCTGCCCGCTGGGGCTTGGACTATGAGTTCAAGCTGGATCACTTCAGGACAACTCAAGTCAGTCCTAAAAGTCTGACGAGGGGAGAAATGGTTTTCAGCCAGGGCACAAATTAGTCACAACTGCTTCAAACATCATGGCTGCAAGAACACAGTAAAGACTACCTTGAAAGCAATATGACAAAGTAACATTAAAACAATGAGAGAGAAGAGAAGAAGCAGCAGAACACAAAGATGCATCGCAGTGGAAATTAAAACAGTGACATTTAAACACCCAGGTTTAAACCAATTGACCTGCTGGTGCAACTCTGCCTGCAACTATAAGGAGAAAATCATGAACTTAGTCTGACATCTGGTGGACAGAACCTGTTCACCATTAACTCTCTGAATTTAAAAAAGGGGCATTATCTTCCTGTTTCTTTTTCAGTGCTGTGTGCTGTGGGAGCGGAGACCCTACAACAGGGAGAATTCAACAGACTCGGCATCTACCTGGTGTAAGTGCTTAGGATTTGCAGTACACCTCATAATACACTGTATGAATTTAAACCTACCACAGCACTGACTCTGGCTTTCTTGAGACCAAACTGGTGGCATTCCCGAGTTACAAATACACCGCCTGGATTTTAATATGGCAAAAAATGTGTGACTTTACGGATTGTAAAAACAATTACAACACTGTACCTGCTTATATAACCACACAAACAGTGAATACACACAGAGATGCTGGGAAGGAGTCAGAGGGATGAAGCGAGGTGCAGAGGGTATTATCTCTGTGGATCGCAGCCAAACTCCCACAGAGCCGCAGGAAAACATCTCCCAGGGGAGACCAGAAATGCACAACTGTTTATTCTTTCAGTACACACAAATGCAGATGAATGCTGCACTCACACACACAGAGAAACACACAACTCAGCGATAACTCTTTAAAGAGAGGGCAGCGTTTGATGATGGTTAGTCTGCATTTTTCTGGATGACTGGATTGGGGGGTTATCAGACTATTAAAACGCACAACAGAGACAGGGCCTATACTGTAGCAACAAACAGTAAAAACAAAAACAAAAAAAAACACAAATGCCAAGTCCTTTACAGCATATGAAGATGATATCTCCTCACTTGAAGCATCAGTTTAGAAAATGCTAGGCATAATACACATAAAATGACATATTTAGATCTAGTTGAGAATTTGTTTACTGATGTCATCACTGTCACTGTATCAGTATCATCTGGCTCTGAACACATTTCTCCTCCCAGGGTTTCATCTATTGGCATCATGATGTTTGAGCTGGCCTATTTCCTGGACATGCTTCTGATCATGTGTCTGCCGTGAGTACACAACCTTCATTTGCATCATCTATGTTTTGCATAGATAGCATGACTGCAGAGAGGAAAAAGACATCAAGTGAAATTCTCTAAGGTGATTTAACCAACTATAAAGTGTGCAAAGCAGGTGAAAAACTCCTAAATCTGAACATGGATTGTCAGTTTTATTAGTTTATGTCATCATAGCTGTGTTCTGGATTGCATACTTTTCCGCTTTTAGTAAGTACTGCACCTGCCCTTACAAAGTACATACTGTTGCCTGCAGTATGCATCCAACCGGGACACACTATTTTGTTAACATTTGGCACTGAACTTTGACCCCGTTATATTTGTCACCTCTGAGATAAAAGAAAACGCCATTCATGAGCTTGCCAGAAATACTGCAACATACTATATGTCTGCCATATCAGCATTCACATATTTACTGTCAAAAGAATCTAAAATTGTAAGAATGTGACTTTTCCGTCCTCGTTGCCTCAGTCCTCTTCTCCTGATCTTTCTTTCTCTGTAGCTGTCCTCCAGACTGGCAGCTGTTTGTGTTGTGGGGGAAGATGGCTCGCATCGGAGGCTTCCATAAGTTCCTCTATTACTCCATTATGTCAGTGGTCTGCTTCCTGCACCCTGTGTTGGTGTGGCATGCAGTTATCCCAGGTAACATAACCCTGGCAAGTGCCATGCTTACACTGGTAATTACAGTAGTTTATTGCACCGTTAGCTACATAATGAGGCTTTTTAGCAGCAGACATTTTCACTTGTTACAGAGTAGGAAACACGCACGTGTAGCTGCAGCCTTGTCTCCTAGAAATTACTGCTTTTTTATTATGTTGTTGTGGCAACGTAATTGCTGCGTGGATTATGTTCAGAGACAATGTTTCTTTCAGGAAACAAAGCATTGAATTCATGTCAAGGCTTCAGAGACCTTGATACCAGGAACTTGGGGTTGCATCCAGACTCCTGTCTGTAGTTTGTGCAACAAAAGGTTAAGGTTAGGGAAAGATTGTGATTTTGGATTGATTTTAAATGTTAATAAAGAAGGAGAGTAAAAAAGAATGCTGTCGTCACTAAGTGTGGATAGTTTTGGCAGAAAACAGCCAAAATATATCACTGAACATTTTGCTAATACGTTCAGTATCAACATATTTGTGATTTGATAGGCAGGTTTTCAGCATTACATTTCCCTCAAGACATATTTTTCCAAAATATTCTGGGAGACAGGGCTGTGTAGATTTAATAACATTAACCTTGATTTAAGTGCCCCAGTAAGTCATGTCAGTGTGACAGTGAGCCAACATGTACAATATGAGGACCCTGAAACTGAAGCAGCTAAATGGAATTCAGACATTTCCTACTGTAAAATGTCGAAATGTCTTCTCTGGAAAGAAACAAATATATTTTCTGTTTGCAGGGATCATGCTTCTGGTGACGGCCGTTTTCAACTTCATACTAAGCAAGAAAACAAAGATCAAATCGCCCAAAAGGCCGCAGGAGAGCCACAGCGACCAAGGCCCAACCACTGTCTGCGTGACAGAAGGGACAGCCTCAAACAGCACCGCCTCATTCTTCCACATGACAATGGGAAGGAGAGGTGGGGGACTGGCTCTAACATCCAGAGACCACTGCCTCGGCCCGGGAGAGAGGGGAGAGAGCGTCCAGGCCATGCTGGAGCTGGAGCAGACAACAGCACCTAAAGGCACAGACAGGGAGAGGAGGAGGTGGAAAGAGAGGAGACTGATAAGCTTGAGAAATAGGGAGGAGCCTGTGGAGAGAGAGATGGAGGAGATGGAGGGCTACAGTGAGCCAGAGCCAGACACCACCTCAGACACTGCGCCTATGATTACTGACTGAACGTCCCTCTGCTCTCAGATTGAGCTCCTTCCTGATATCACACAAAGGAAAGCATGTGTATTGTATTCATACTGACTGAGTGCAATGAGCTGGTGCTACACTGTTAGCTGAAAATAACATTTTAAAATTGCTTTTGAGCATTTTGGAGTGTTCAGTGTGTAATTTATGTAATTAGATAACTAAAATATGAAGATTATTAGATTTTTTTATTAAATGTTCCACTAATTTGTATATTTTTTACTTCAAACATTTAATTTTTTAAGCACTTTGATCTGCAGATGCACAAATTCAAAGAAATTAAACCATTTGTACCTACACGAGCACGTGGGTGGCTTTTAGTCTGATTTTTGCAAAGCCAGCATGGATTGAAGAGAAGACGTTAAAGCAATCCAATCCAGTTACTGCAGCATGCATTATTCATGAGGTAATAAATTAGATCAACTGTTATATTCACTCAGCGTCAGAGAAAATGTGAAAGGGAGTAGCGAGCGTTAGAGCCTGTGCAGGTGCGTGTGTTAGTCACATTCAAGTCTCCTTATTGTGTGTTTGTCATGTGCAAGCGGTGACCATGGAGACGGAGCTCTGGGAGGAGTGCTCACGTTATTATGGTGATGAGAAAACCATCAGATCACCCACCAGAGCGCCACCATAGCCATAGACCCACGTTTCACCCAAACATCACACCAAACCAAACATAATTACAAGTATTATTCATGCACTGATAATGTCGTACGCTGCACATTGATGCTATGAACAGGGTGTGTGAATCAGACTCTATATATCACTCTGAAATTAGCATATTTGTGATACAAAAGCGGGTATGAAAAGCCTGTATTTGTTTTTGTTTTGTTTTATCACACTAAAAATGATACAATTCTCCATGCAGACGTTCCTCTTTTGTTCAGGTCATAAATCAATACTGTTTTGTTCTGTCAACACACACACACACACACACACACACACACACACACACTGTACACACATTGTATTCCTCAGTCCTTTGTTCACTGAATTGTAGATATATAACTCGATGTAGCCTTAAGAGGCAATCTCTCCACAGCATCAAAGCTAAGGAGAGAATCAATAAAAGCAGAGAGGCTCATTCATCAGAAAGCACCTCACTGAGAATGGGGGCCAGCAGGCAGCAGACGCGTGAAAACGCATTGCTGGTTAAAGAACTGGGCTATTCTCTATTTCTGACACAGATTACATGCCCAGCAGCTACACAGTGTCATACATTCTTTCAGCATTTTAAACAGGTCTCTTTTTCACAATATATCAAAGCCATGACATGTGAGTGCAGTCAGGAGGGATGAGATGTTCTGGTGTTTTGTGGGGAGAACAGAAAGTCTTTGTCCAGAGTTTGCTGAGGCAGATAATCAGGGCTGTATTATCATCTTCACAATGATCTCTGGTCAATTAGGAACTGAGTGACCCAACACTGGAGAGGAAGAGAGCGTCAGTATTTCCAGTCTGCTTCCATCGAGTCTGCCACATCCTTTAGACTGAGCTGTTCTCTTTAGGGGAAGTTATTCAGCTGCTGGAAGAACTTACTTCCTCTTTGCACGTTAAATCATAAATCCTATTCAGACAGAGAGAGGGAGACTTCCTACAGTTTTTGTTTCCACCCTACAATAGTTTCCTAGATGGCAGATCCAGGCGCAAAAACAGGATGGGGGAAATAAATCTTTACAGGTCACGGAGACTTCTTCCTTCAGTGCTGAGCTGGAAAAAACAGGATAGGTACTGTAGAGGTAGACAGAGTTCAGTTTTCTTATCACTGCATATGTAAAGACAGAAAAAAATAATGAAGATAACTGGTTCATTGTATCATTGTTTATGCAATGGCTTTGATTTGAATCTGTCAAACCACATAACGTAGCACACACATATTATAAAACAACAAAGCCCAGCTGGCATTCTAATGTTTATTCAATGTCAAATCAATGCCATTCACCATGGTTGAATCACTGTTGAATTATGATTTAATTTTGAAAATTAAAAATCAATATAGATTTTGAGATAGATGTTGATTCAGTGTTGTTTCATAAACTTCAAATGTTGTTTTCACAGTTGAAACAATCTTTCTGACATTTTAATGTTGATTTTGTTAACCTTTGTACAACTATTAGAATTAAAAGTTGTTTCAACGTTGTTTTAATGTTGAAACATTAACAAGTGACATAAGTTTAACATTGAAGGTCAGTCGTGTGTCAACTGGGGAGAAGGGCCAATCAAATCCTGCACCTTTTTATCCATTAGAGCTGCAACTAATGACTATTTTCATCATGGATTAATCTGCCAATCATTTCACAATTTGGCAATTGATCGTTTAGTCTGTAAAATGTCAAAAATTGTGAAAATTTCACAGAGCCCAAGGTGACATTGCTGCTTTTGTCCAACCAACATTCCAGCACCCAAAGACTCTAAATTTACGATCACAAATGGCAAAGAAAAACAGCAAATTGTAACTTTTAGGAGGCTGGAAAGAGCACATTTTTGACATTTTTAATATTAAAAATGACTGAAAAGATTAATCGATTATCAAAATAGTTGGCAATCAATCTCTTTTCAATTGACTAATCGATTCATAGACTAATCATTGCAGCTCTATATTGTCCATACAGGGGAAGAAGACATTTACATCCAATAACTAGAATCATATTTCAAAACACAAGACAAGCATGTCCATTCAAAACATTTTCTATACTCACACAATGCACAGGAGGGAAATGCATCCAAAATAGACATTATATCAAATAAACCTAATTGTGTATTTTTGCATTAAAACACACAAAATTCAATGTAACCTCTAACCTGAGTTTTCTAGCTGATTATAAGTCAAAAAACTGAAGGAAAAAACAAGATAACAGTTTAAACTGATGGCTGAGACTGATGAGGCTGAGGTAAAGCCCTCAAGATGCCTTTATCAAGAGGAGAGAGGTATGAAACCCTGACTCTCTTCGCCCCGCCCACGCTGAACGCTGATTGGCTGAGCCGTAAGAGTGCAGCCTTCTATTGGATCATCGTGTTGTCAGTTTTATCTTCCAGCTCTGAATACCGCACGGCCAGGGAGGCATGAAGACGATAAACGGGATACATAGCTGGTGGATATACGGAAGAGGACGGAGGACGCAGTCTGCTATGGTGAGAAACTGATCAAATATACTGCAGGATCATTTCACACTAACAGAGGGAAGGAACTTTACTGATGTGATCAATCTGTTTAACCCTGAAAACAACATAATGTTCTGAAGGCAGGAAATGTTTTAAAGTTGGATGCAGGTTACTAACGGTATAAATTCATTTATTGCATTAAGGGAAATTAATGCAGTGGCTGGTGTGAAAAACTTTCATTTTCGTCTGCTTTCATCTGACGCTACTACAAAACTACACGCTCGCCTGCTGCAGTAGAAACAGATCAATAAATCAATCTTCAGCAAGTGATCTGCCAGTTAATCTCTTTCTCTTTCAGCGTTTGTCCTTAAATATAAACGTCTGTGTAAAGGTTGTGTATGTGCGTTACTTGGAGGTGCCCTGGACATTTTACGCATGGGAATGGGAGTCTCCGGGCGCAGCTGCCAGAATAGGTGCGATAATTGGATACGAATCTCGCGATGATCAAACCAATTAGCAGACCTGCAATGAAGGCTCTTTGTCCACCGAGGGAGCTTTCACGCAGAGGTGGTGCGTAATTTAGTCACAAAGAAGAAGGGGAAGAGAAGAGAAAGCTTATGTAAATTCACCCAAATCTGAGCATCACCCATCAGAGTGACCTCTGTTTTCTTCACACAGCTCTAAGCTTTTGGTCCATCTCCTGTGCAGCCATGTGCAGTGGATGAATAATTCATAATAATGATGACAGACTGGAATCTTTAAGGTAATGGAATATTTATATGGCCATTATTGTGTATAAATACGCATAAGAGATAGACTGACCATCCCATTATGCTCCCACTTTGTCAGCACTTTCCTTGGATGAAAGTGGAGGTGGACAGAGGTCATGAAAGGGAGGATGGAGGGCTGATAGGTGCTGCTACAAGCTCAGGCATTAACATTTTATTTCCCATCCTCACAAAGATTAACAAGTCCATTAGAGGAGCAGCTGTGTGACAGAAATCTCTCTTTTGTTCACAGTGTTCATTGTTTAGCTGAATTTTCACCTCACTTCCCAGTCAGGCAGTGCTGTGGTCAGTACTGGGCAGTCTGTTTCCTGGTTTTTGTGGTGACTGCCGCTGCTCATGCAAGCATTTTTTTTTTGTCTTCTTCTATTTTTTTCACCTAAGAAACTTCTGTTTCAGCTGCAGGATATGCAAAAGAATCACTTCCTGTGTACCAGAGCTTATTCTCTGGGAAGATCTGCTTTTAAGAATAACAGCTGTTGACAGTTTAATGAACCAGGTTAGATTTATTATGACTGGTTGAGTAATATATCAAAATTGAGTGTATCAAAGTGGAGCTGCATTTGTATGAAATAAATCACACACCAGTACTTTAATTGATTAACCTTCTTTATCATGTGACCAAATGATGCTCTACAACTAAATGGATCATTTTAGAAAGCATTGAGTCCCAGCCAATTATTCAGACAGTAGCACTTTTGAATAGACAGTACACTTTACAGATCAGGTTGAAGTTCAGTGTGCCAAATGCTTTAGTCACTAGGTGGCAGCATCATAACACCAGCATCATGATTGTGGCTACAGTGATAGGTATTTTAGATACCGTTCGTGAGGGTGTTTAACTCACCTTGTCAGTCCTTAGCAAACAGCAAGCTTTCATCAGAAAAGATAGAAGATAAGATGTTCTGCCATGTTTAATGAGGCGTTTCATTTCACTTTCTACCCCTATAATCTGCTGAATCTTTCAGTATGTTTTCGTAACTGCCAATTTTTCAGACTTCCTTAAGCAGAAAACCAAAAACTCACAGTTGCCAGACCAAATCTCAGACATATAATGTAGTTGAAAATACTCAAAATCATGTTACCTTATACATTCAGCTTTTACTGAAATACCACAAACACAATCTATTATTAGTGCAATACCATTACACATGGACATGAGAAACAAACACTACTATAAAAACACACTAAAAGTTGATTATCAATCTACAACTGCAACATCTGCAACTACGTATTTTATGATTTGCCCTCTCAGTCATGTGGTTACATTTAATTACAGGAGGTTGTGTTTCGACTGCTGCAGAAAAGGTGTGAAGTTTGTGGGAAGGTGTTAGGGTTTTTTGTATTTACGTGCATCTTTATTTATTAGTCTGGATTGTCTGTATCTGAGCTGAGTCTGGCTCTTTATATATATATTTATGTGTGTATATATATGTGTGTGTGTGTGTGTATATATATATATATATATATATATATAGCAATGTGTTTCTGATCTTGGGCATTGAGTTTTATATTTTCATTACCTTTCAGCTTGTGATAAGTCATTGTTGTTTCTGATTATATTGCGGTCACACCTCCTTCATTACGAGAGGATGTTTCCGGGCGGTTCATTCACAGATAGACCCTGTTGTGCAGTTACATATTCTCTTCCCTGACTGGTGTTTGAACCTCACCTGTTTATATTATTTACCATTTTTGCCTTTTGATTACGCTGATGACGACTTCTAGTTGACACATGTTTAGTTTTTTCACACAGTAAATAAGAATACAGTTTACCTGTGAGTGTTGCTGTTCCATTTGTTCTGTTAATAAGTTCGGTAAAACTCTTTCTTAGCTAGTAGCTCATGTTAACATTTGGGAAGTTTTGTTAATTAATAGTGTCTAATAATTTAAAAAAAATGTAAATCTTAAATGAGATTTTAACAGTGATGGATGAAGTATTCAGATTATTATCATCATAATACACTTAACATGTATTGATATGCAACAGAATAGTTACTCTCAGTGTTTAGTGTAGTCTAGTATTTGTAACTGTTTATGTGTTATTATTACTGATGCATTTAGGGCCATTGTGAAGGATTCTCTATCAGCAGAAATTGCGTTTAATATTAATAACTATTTTTTCTTTTTTTTGTTTTTTCTATCTCCACTGAGATAGAAAGTCCGTTCGCATGTGGAGTTTTCAAGGATTTAAATGAATGTGTCATGTAGTGTTTTAGTTTGTTTTGGATCTACACTATAACATTATGCAACGTGACTTCTGACAAAGGACCTTAGTTGATTCGATGTGTTTGGGCAACAATCTAAGGAGTACAGTAACTGCAATACACTCCTTTGTCACCAGGGGAGACAGTACCAGACTCCCTTCGCAAAATCGCAGAGTTTTGTGAGATGTTGAATTTGGGAAAGCTTTATAATCACTCTGAAACACTATCTACAACAAATTCTTAAGGATCTGTCCACTCTTGTTAATTTGGCAAATGTAATACACAAAGGTATTTTCTTCTTTTTGTGAACAAACCCATTTTGGCAGTTTGTCTCTCTGTGTTGTAGTGCGGGCTCGGAAAAAAGTCTTTGACACACCGGCTTGTACATCCAAGAATAGACAGACCTGTCAACCAATAAGACACTAGTGTTTCCACGTAGTTTCTTGTAAACCCTCTCTGACTGGTCTCGTCTTGCCTCCATTGCGTTTACTGAAGATAAAAAGAATACAACACTGCTGTTTTCATTCGTGACAATTAACGGTTCAAAGTGAGAATTATTAGTGGCAACAAACGCCTGTGTTTGGTGTTAGTGGGGCAGGCTGAGCATTTGGGAGGGCATTGCCCCCCTGTGCCCATGCCTAGGGCTGGCCTTGGGGCTATTCACATTTTTTTCACATGAAGTTTTCATGTTGGCTTCCGTAGTTCTCCCTACACGATTTGTACACGGGAGAAGTTTAAGTTCTACAACCTCACCACTAGATGTCGCAAAATCTTACACACTGGACCTTTTAAAGAACATTTCAATGTTTTCTTTGTTTGAGAAGAGGAATATTTGAAATTACTGATATGCTGTTGAGTTTATTATAGAACTACACAGCACTTGTAATAAGAAGATGGTCTAGATTTGGTGTCTAACATCTCAGTCTGCAAAGTCACTACAGCTGTCACATAAATGCAGTGGTGTAAAAGGTGCAGTTTCTGTATAAATTAAAGTACGAAGGGTAGGCCTACTTATAGTCGGTTGGATATTAAGGGGCTTCTGTTGGTCACTTGCCAGTAACAGTTACAAGAAAGTTATCTTGACAGCTGTTAACAGATCCTTTCTATTGGTATCCTGTCTCATCCTAACAATAAACAACCTGACTTCAAAGGAACAGCATGACAACAGGAAAGGTCCCTTAAATTATCCTGCCCAGCCCTGGACAAAGGTTACCTTGTCAGCAGTTTACTTTCACTTTCCATATTACCACTTTGTGCTCTCAACATGAAGTGATAACAGATCACATATCAGATCTGCAGAATCCCATATCAATTCCAATAGGTGTTTTAGGTGAAAAATAAAACAAGTTTGTACACGCCTTAGGTATTAACTTTCCATTACCAAGGTTTATGTGGGTGCACGGCAAAAGTAGGAAAAAGTATTACGTGTGTGTGTGGGTGTGTTCTCTCTTTGAGATCTATCGAGGTCTAATCTGTCACATGATTTACAAGAAATCACAGAGCTGGTGTGAAGCATGTTTACCAGACATCATAAAGCAATCACTCTCACCAGTTCACGCCCTGATCACCTGAACATCTTAGTTGTGCAACACTAACAGTGGCCCATAAAGGTTTTAAACAGTTACTTGTGATAGGCACAGTTAAGGTTTTCTAAAACACCCTCAGCAAATGCTCTTACATCAAGTGGTCACCTCTGCCGATTTATCATGTAAAGAGATTTTTATATATTTAAAATACAATACACCCCACAGTTAGGTCTTATTATAGCTTTGAGATGTTTGTGCAGATGTTTAAGGGAGACGTGTTTGCTCTGTGCCTGCCGCTGACTCACATCCTGTAGTTTATTAACTAAAGCTGGGACTGCGGGTTAGGTGACCTCTCATATCCTGTCAAGCAAGTAATCGTCATTCCCATCATTCAGCTCTAAAGATAACAACAGGAGTTTTAACAACAAATAGCACACAAGGCCACACAGTTGATCTGATATATTTATTTACAAAAACAATGCTCACATTGATATAAAAATAAATAATCGGCTTAGTGTCTTCAGTTAGCTTTTCCAGCTGCATCCACAGAACTACACATAAACAATATATTGACCATTTAACAGTGTGTAAAAGTTAAAACTGTTGACATTTATGACAAGCCTCCAGGGCTTAGTTTTCAACGCTACATCAATCATTTGCACAGAAAAAATAAAGCCCCCTGCTGTGGCCTGCAAAGAGATTTACAGCTCAGACAACAGTTTAGGGGAGCTTGATATCTCAGCCGTTTGACGTTCAGGGAATGAAAAGTGGTAGGGTGTTGGTTTTTAACGGCCTCTGGTGGCCTGGGCATCCACAGTGTGGCAAGAATCAGCATGAACAGATTTCTCTCTATGCAGTAGCTTTATATCATCTGTCAGACTCGCTGACTATTGGGAGTTAGAGGATGAAGCTCTCCTGTTGTGCCCCTGGCTCCTCTGTCGAGAGCGCTGGCGCTGACCTCCTCTGCCCCTCCTCCTCCTCCTCTTCAGGCACAGCCTCACATCACGACTCAACTTGTGAGCTCTAGAAAACACAACAGTACAAACTTTAGCCTGGAGGAAGGGCTGCGTATTGATACTCCTGTGTGTATTAGAGTCAAGTCAGATACAATGTAATGTGCATTTGTTGTGGCATGAACTGCTTTTATGGAAGAATCCAAACCAATGGCCAGAATACATGTTGGCATTTTGCGTCCCTACAAACCAGGGGTGTGTTACAATTGTGCATTTTGTATGTGGCGGATATGGTGAAACATTATGTTTCTTTACATTTCAGTTTTAAAGTTGAACGCTGTGGTTAAACTGTGGTTACATTTAAGCACAAACACCACTTGCTTGGGGTTAGAAAAACATCTTATTTTGTTAAAATACCATATATTGTTGCAACAAGCACGGCTGGAAATATCCTGACATGTCAATAAAAATACACGCTTTGTTGTTTGTTGGTCTTGAACAGTGGTTTGCTACTGGCTCAACAAGGTCTTACGCCATCCGCCGCCCCCTCTTCCCCCCGATGAGAAACTTAAATATATGTAATCTGAACTATGTCTATTTATCGGTGTTAATATGATACGCATGAATTGCACAAATGTAACATATCCATAGTTTGCAGAAACACACAATGCCAACATTTTATTCTGGCAACTGGGCTGAAGAATCCATTATACACACTGAGAGAAAGGAAAGCATGGAAATATAGCTCTAATACAAAATTAGTCGATTACCACTGTTAGAGGCACGAACTGTCACTCTTTTCTGTCTCACAAGAAGCAAAACATGTAGAGGAAAGGAGTAAAAACTGCTCAGCTAGGTGCTTTGTTACTACAAGAACTGGCCTGGCAACAATAAGATACTGTTGGCGGTGATTTACGGGAAATGTGAAGACAGGTGGGACTGTTCCGTTACCAGTTACAACACACGGCTTAAACATTCTGCAGTAGTGTAAAAAGATAGAGCATATTGCTGTTGTCGTGTGCAAATTAACCCTAGTAAGTGATTGATTACATGGTACTCCGAGGGTTGCCGAAGCTGTAGTATCCCTTATAAAACCCTACAGAGGCAGGACACAGTTGCCATGCATGCCCTTAGTGAGTGTGTGTACTGGTTTGCTAAAAGAATCATAGATCAAGGTTCTCACCTCTTCCAGCAGCGAATCAGCTGTTTGCCCATGGGTGCATCTGGATTCAGACACACTGGAGTATTGTCACTCCTTAGTGTCACTCTGAAAAACACACATAAACCCACATATTTACTCATCTGGACATGTGTGTGTTAATGAATGTGTGTGTCTGCATGATCTGGTTATTACTCACATCACTGCGACTTTGTCACAGCTGGGGCTCTTTGGGTAGACTGCGAGGTCTTTCAGTTGCCCCCTGACACCTGGTTGCGTGCCCAGACACAAACATCTTCCCGGGACAAACGTGCTGTCTGACTCTCTCACTGCAGGGACACAGTAACAGGATTACAGGTTAATTCAATACGGAGCAACACGAGCAGAGATTGAGTTGCTGTTCACATGCTCAGACACCTTTGCCCCAAAAAAACAACAGTCCCTGCTTTTACTATATCCTCATTTTATGGAAGAATACAGAGATCATATGCATGGGTGATTCTTACCTGCGATCAGTACGCAGCAGAGGCTCAGGAAGGCGAGCTGACAGGCTGAGTGAAGATAAAGCTTCATACTGGAGACGAGGTGAACGTTGACACTGAGCCCCTGAGCCACATGTTGCCGTTTTATACCCATGCTCCTCCCCCCGCATACTCAGGACTGGGCTTTCCAAACCAGGAAATTCCCTATGGCACTCTCCCTCTAAAGTATAAGGACACAGGAATCAGGATGCCGAGATCAGGGACAACATTCCTCTGTCCTGTCAGAAAAGACCTGACACCCACAAGGACACCGTGATTAATTGGTGTCCTCCTGTTTTTACTGTGCATTCAACATATTAGACAAAAATGAAACTGGTGTTGCAGACTGGTCATTTTCTTTAGAAACTGTGTCACAGAGATGACTAATTCATGTTTATTGTCATTATTATGATGCTAACTGTTAAGAAGAAGCCTGCCACAGTAGCAGAAGTTATCCTTGAATGAGACAGAAGACACAGTGTTTTCCAGGCTCCGAGCTTTGCCGCGACATGTTACTCTGTTGGCTCTGTGTCAACAAAGAGCATGTGATTTCTCCTAATTCCCTGTCCCTGCTTTTAGGACTGGATTTTAAAGGCTGAATCAAAAAGAAATATTTATTGTTTTTGTTTTATTTCTATGTGATTGTCAATCATCTTTTCAGAAGCACATGCTCAAAAATATTCTCTCTCTGGGGATAATTAAGATCATATGTACATGCACATCATCATTTACATTATTAGACATGGCAATACACAGTGTTATAGACCTAATTCAATTTTTATTTCTACTACAGCTGGGCTCCAGTCAGGATGGGTGAGCATCAGACCTACGTGAAGCTCAGTGAAGAGAAACTTATCCCAAAGTAAGTCGTTGTAGTTCACTTACTTAATTACACAGAGTGAAGTGAAATCTCAATGGTGATTACATGCATTAAATTTCATCACTGCTTGCATTGTGTGAGAGCTGTGAGTGCTAATCTACCCTTCATGGTGTTGTGTTAATTTCAGGCCTGACATCTTATCTCTGTTGAGGACCTACAACTGCTACCACGAAGGGAAAAACTTCCAGCTGAGGACTCGTGAGGTAAGAAATGTTCAGCCGCAGACAGATCACCTGACAGAAGCCAGTGCTAACGGAAATAAAAAAAAAGGTAAACAGGGCGAGTTATTGACAAGTGTCGGGTGGTATGTGTGTGGGCGAGCTTGATTGTAGGACATGTTGTAAAATGGGTTGCGCACAAACCAAACTGGAACCAGTTCAACCAGCACTTTCATTTTAAGATAATGGGGACAAAAAACCTGAGACCAGTTCAGCTTCCAATGTGCCAGCAGCTCTGAGCACAGACCTGGCATTCCTGGGTTTATTGCAACATGAGAAACCACAAAAAAAATCCCTTTTCCCTCAAAATGAAAATGGAAGGAGTGCCAGGTTTCAGTCATATACACTAACCACTGAGCAAAGTATTTCCACAGTTAACGTTTTGCTGTTGTGGTGTTTTTGGTTATTTGTTTGATAGCTATTCTATGGGTTTTATGGTCAGGAGTTCCCCTTTGTGTTAACCAGCAGGTTTTTGAGAGAAAGCCAGTGTGTGTGTGTGTGTGTGTGTGTGTGTGTGTGTGTGTGTATGGTGCAGGGCAGGGTGGTCACAATCTGTCCCTCTTTTTTGTCCCACCAGCCAGACTCACTCATTCTGGGAAAATCCCCCCACAGTCGCAGACACAACGTGTACATGAAACATACACATGTGTAGTAGAGGGACCAATGATATCGCAACATCGACATAATATTAACCAAAAATTAAGATACAAGAGGTTGAACCTTTTAAATGGTTGTATTTACTGAACACTGACATTTGATGAGCAGATATTAAACCAAACTCATTATGGAGAATGACTCAACACATCGCATTACATCACCGGAACTTGTAATGGTTCTTCCGAAGCTTTAATGTGGGATCTTGCTGAAAATGATGCAGAACAACCATCCCTCCACCCAGCCTGGACTTGGCAAGGTGCTGGAAACATCAATAAGTCCGGACTGGTAGAAAAGATTTTCACACACTTACATCTATGCAGTGTTTCACTTTATTGTTGAGCTTTTGGTCTATCAGACCTTTATCAGAGCATACATAAGGTGAAAGTAACCAGTCTCAGTGTAATCATTGCCAGCATTCAACACACCTGTGCACAACTAGAAGCTTCACCTCCTTGGAGAACTTTGCTGAAAATGAAAGCTAAGTAATTCAACCAAAACGTGTTGCTTCTCTAATAGCTAAATAGATACAGTCCAGATTTATAGAATAGCCTAAATATATCTAACTTTTATTGTATGTAAGTGTGATAGCTGTAATGATTCCACATTATTTGTTGCTTTTTGTGTTATCACAAAGACTGTGCAAGGCTCCAGTTCGGTGAGAATGTGGAAAAAAGATAAAAGGGGAACAAAGGATCTCAGCCAAAACAGGACAGTGACTCACCTTAAAGTGAAAATGATTCACTGATATGTAGCTTAACTTTCTGTTTGCTTTGTTGGTAATCAAAAACATCATAGCAGCCTTTTAGCCACATTGTTTTGATTATGTTGCCTGAATTTAGAGGTGCTATACGTGACATTCAGACCATTAATATAGCAGTAGAAAGCTATTTGCTATGTAAAGATATAGTGGAGTAACGGCGTCCTGAGCAGAGAATGAAGTCACACTTCTTCTCTGTGTGTTGTAATCTGACTGCATGTGAGTCCCTCTGAGTGTGTCCCACTGGCGAGCTTATCGCCACTGCTCTTCACAGCACTCATACAGCAGGTTTTGCAAAAGCAAAGCTCCCATCCTTTGGTCTCTCCTACTACTCAAGATAATATGGCTAGCTCTGTCAGCACTGTTGCCCTTGTTAGCGCTGTTCAAGCTGTTAGCACTATTAGTTGCAAGCTGTGAACTCTGCCATCTCCATTTTGAAAGCCGTGTGTAGAATATACCAGGTCAGACTGAAACATAGATACTCTGAATGTCAAGTAGCTATAGCACCTTTAATCAATTACCAGATATTCCTTTAAATATTGTTTTAACTAAAATACTTTTTTTTTTTTTATCAGAGATTAATGGTAAGGCACAAGAAGGCAGCTTTGTTTGTATAGCACATTTCATACACCAGGGCAATTCAAAGTACTTTACAGAGTTATCAAATATAGAACATAATAAAGGATACAGATTTACAATAAAAGAGTACAGAGAAAAAATATATATGTAAAACTAATTACTAAATGCTTAACATTTTTTTAAAAATCGCCTTTAAAAATAGCAATTTTAGCTTTGACTTAAAAGTGGTCAGAGTCAGTGCTTGTCTAACATTATCTGGGAGGCTATTCCAGGTTTGTGCTGCATGATAACAAAACGCTGCTTTATCCTGTTTTGTTCTGACTCTTGGGATGGTCAACAGGCCGGCCCCAGGGTCCTAGAAGGTTGTCACATGCATTTCAGATATATATTTGGGCGCTGAGCCACAGAGTGATTTATATGCAAGCAGCAAGATTTTTAAATCAATTCTCTTGGTGACATGTAACCAGTGTAAAGACTTAGCTTTTTGGGACTGGAGTAATGTGGTCATATTTCCTAGTCTTTGTCAGGACCTTAGCAGCAGCATTCTGAATAAGCTGAAGTTTCCCAAAAGCTTGTTTTGAAAGGCCTACAAACAGATGATTGCAGTGATCTAATCTACTGGAAATAAAGGCGTGGGTGAGCCTTTCAAGGTCATGTTTTGACATTATTCCTTTGACTCTAGCAAGGATTTTTAAATGGTAGTAGGCAGATGACAGTTATGGATTTGATGTGGCTATGGAAATTTAAATCTGAGTCCAGCATAACGCCAAAGTTGTAAGACTCTTAGTTATAAGAGAGAAGGCCTCAAGGTGAGAGTTGACACTTTGTCTTTCTTTATGTGGCCTGTCTTTCTTTATGTGGCCCAAAGACAATTATGTCGGTCTTATCTCTGACACAGACATTCTACAGGTCCATAATCACCTGGTTAAAAACGATATGTCTATTTGTGTGTCATCTACATAATGATGATAGGCTACGTTAGTATTTTACATGATTTGGCCTAATGGAAGCATATAGAGATTAAACAAAAGGGGTCCAAAAATGGATCCCTGTGGGACCCCACATGTCACGGCCATCTGCTCTGACTTATATTTACTAATCAAGTACTTCCTGTCATGAGGAAATGAACTATTTAAGGACAGTTCCATAGAGTCTGACCCATATTTCTAGTCTTGTGTGTCCACTCAAGTCAAAAGTCAAAAGTACCACTAAATCCAACAGCACTAAAACAGAGACTTTGACTGAGTCAGTATTCAGGTGCATGTCATTTATGAGTGCAATCTCAGTGCTGTGATGGGGCCAAAAACCTGACTAAGAGTTATCAAAGCAATTGTTCAGCTTCAAAAAGTTGCCAGTTTGGTGGTAGACAACTTTTTCAATAACTTTACTTAAATACAGTAAGTTTGAAACAGGCTGATAGTTGTTCAGTACAGTGGTATCAAGACTGAACATTAACTATGAGAGTAAGTTGTTTTACCAGGCTGCTTAGTACAGTTTTAAGGAAGTCAGTGGGTAAAACATCAAGGCACCAAGTGGAAGAACTGAGACTGGAGGCAATTTCTTGCATTGTTTTGTCACTGGAAGAAATTGTGGAAAGCATAAATTAGCCACAATACTTTCAGACACAGGAAGGAACAAATTTAGCCTGCTGGTTTGTAGTCTGTAAGAATGATCAATGTCATTAAAAACCAACCTACACACTATGTGTCATCAATAAATTCTGCTTATAGTAGCTTACAAGAACCACTTTGTTGATGTTAAGTCTTTAATCTCTGTCTCTTATACTAAATAATAAGCTGCAGGTACATAGAGTAGTTTTCCCTTTTGTTGTTTTAGTCTCCTGTTTGAAGGCTCTGTTCATCTTTACCGACTCAGCCCTGTCAATATTAGTGCAGGAGCAGTGGCAAAAGTTAAATTTGGACAAACATTCGGACATCACTGTCTTTACTAAAACATATGCTATGAGAAATGAAACTAAGACATGAAACCATGAGAGCTAAAATCATGATTTATAGCTACAGAAGCTTTTTTTGAGATTGAAAGTTCATTCTTGATCTTGAAAACAGCAGCTGAAAAAACAATCTCACCGCAAAGTCTGTTCAGTTGTTGTTCATTGAAGAAGTTCAAAAATCGGTTTTAAGATTGTGTGATACCATCAAGAGATACTATATGAGGGAACTGAATGGTGAATTTGAATATCCAAAAGCATCCACTGCGAGAGTACATGTGATATGACCAAAAGCTTCAGAGCAGCTAGCCAATGAACTTTCTTGTTACTGTATTGTTAGGGTACAAAATACACTGTGACAGCATGCTGACTGTTATGATGTATACAGTACTCTGTGTCACAGTATGACATATGATGAGAAATGGGTGTTCCTTTATGTAAGTTCTTTATTATAATAATTAATTAATAATTCATACCTATCATGAGGGCAGCTTTGGCTTAGGAGGTTGAGCTAATCCAAAGATTGGCCGGACGTATCCTTGGGCAAGATGCTGAACCCCCAGTTGCCACTGATGGCTGTGCCACTGGTGTGTGTGTGTGTGTGTGTGTGTGTGTGTGTGTGTGTGTGTGTGTGTGTGTGTGTGTGTTAAACTGAGTAGCAGGTGGCTCCTTGTATAGTCGCCTCGGCCACCAGTGTGTGAATGTGATTATGAATGGGTGAATGTGACAAGTAACAGCACTTTGAGTGGTGGAAAGACCAGAGACGCCCTATAAAAGGGCATTTCCATTTACCATGATATAGTGACATTGTTAGAGGTGATGGAGTTGAGGCCAAAGGTTACTCATGACTGACTCATTACAAACGTTACTCAGCAGCGACATTCTTGGGTTGGATGCTGGCCTAAGACCAAAATGTGGAAACCCCTAACGTGATTTAGGAAATACAGTGACCATGAATTTTAATGAAAAACAGCTGTAGACATGCAATGTCATTCCAGACAGACTTTAACTGTGATCATATCGTGACATGTCTGACTATTCGTT